TCACTCAAAATTGAACAATTTTTAAATTATTAAATCAAGATCAGGTTTATCCAAGTGAATTTTTATTCTGGTCTTTATCACATTTTCAAGCAAATTATAGAACTGAAAACTAATTACTTTTTATATTTTCAATTTTAGGTAGTCGATGTACCGAATCAAATTTTTGCTAAACTTCTTCGACATTCTTGTCATCCTCGTAGTCCCATATCTTTTCTACTGGATATCAATGATTCACATAAAGCAAAATCATCATCAATTTCTAAATCTGAAATTAAACCTTTTGAAGTTAATGCCAGTTCAAGTACTTCATTGCAATCAAAACAACCTTCCAATGAAAATGTTAGCTTTATTTCAACTTTAAAAAAATTATTTATACAAAACAAACAATTCATTTTTCTTTTTTTTTTCACTATTTAATATGAATGAAAAAATTTTTCAAAATTTGATTACTGTTAAAGAAAAAGTAAATTATTGCAGAATGTTTCACAAAATGCTACTGTGTATGATTTAAATCGAATACAAAGTGATAATTTCGATTCACTTAGTAAAACAGAATCAAATGATTCATTGTGTGGTTATGAGGGACCAAAGTTGGGTGAACCTGGACGACCTGGTACACGTGACCTAGAATGGTCAATTAAAAAATTGAATATACGAAGACAGGTAATAAAAGATTTTTAATTGAATGCATACAAATTTATATATTTCAGTTTACGAGATTCTAATAGCAATTTTTGTGACAATTTCTGTGTTATTTAGAAGATATCATAAAATTATGAAATATATTCATATATAAACAAAAATGAACTTAATAAAGTAGATTTAATGAAATATATTTATGTATCTTTACTCTATCAATTACTTATCTTTTTTTTTTTTCTTAAAAAGATCGAAAGAGAATATACAAGATTTCGTCGAGAACGTGGTTTATTACCTTCAAATGCATCATTCTTCAATAATTTATCAACTCAGGTGCAACATTTTTTTTTTTATAAACTTTGAAAATTTTTTTATAAGTTTTATAAATTCTAAATCTGAAATTTATTAAAATTCATTATCAATTTCGTTTATTTATACAAATCGTATTGTTTTTTTTATTATTTTAATTAAAAATATTTTTTTTATAGAATTCGATGAAAAAATATCATTGGCCAGGAATTATACGACATGAAACATTATTGCATTCAGATGAATTACAAAAACATAAATTCACAAATGATTTATCACGGGTATTTAAACGTGACAAAATTCTTTCAAGCGTTGGCTTACTTGCTTCACTTAATAATAATCTTGCTCAAGGTATTGTACTTCGTTCAACAATTCCAGTAAAATCATCTATTATTACACCTCTACAACAGAAGCTTAAAAATTTCACACGTAAGTTTATACTTTAATAATTCTTTTTTTAAATGAAATTTAAATTTTGAATTTCCGTAAAACTAACAAAAAAAAAAAAAAAAAAAACAAATGAAAAGAAAAGATAACTCGAAATAAAAAAAAAAAATGTGCTAGCATATTTCTCACAAATGTTTTGAAATTGTAAATTTTGTAAAATCAAAAAAAAAAATAAATAAATAAATAAGTAAATGAGATGAAGAATTATTTAAAAATAAATGAATATTCATTGTTTATCAAATAAAAGCTTTCTTTTAAATTTCTTTTCCAAATATACAATATGAAAGGATAGATAAGCTTTTTTCAATGTTTTTTTTTTCCGATATTTCCCATAAAATAGATTAGTTCATTTTTTTTTTTCTTTACTCTCTATTCTCAATAACTTTGCTATTTTATTAAGTTCATGTTTGTTTATTAATTTAAAATATTCTCTAATCATTATCATTTTATAAGCAGTTAGATACCTTTTTTAAAATTAATCATCTCTCTCACTTTTTATTTCTTTGATGATAAATAAGAAAGATTATAATAAAAGATAATTTTATAGTTGTTAAATTTAGTCATCGGTTATCTATCCTTTCATTTCTAGCATAAAATAATTTAATTGAAAAAATTTTTCTTATCAGGTGATATATCATCATATTCATCATATCTTTTGGAAGCACTTAGTCTATGTATACCGGCAGAATCGTTATCACTATCATTAACTTCAAAACAGTTAACTCGGTTTCATAGTATGCATAATTTACATCACATAATTAATTGACGACGACAACAACAATGACAGTATCAATAGCAACAACCATATCAATTGGAAATTAATATTTTAAACAATGATGGAAATTGTAATAATTAAAATTATTAATAGATTATCAAATTTTCCTTTTTTCTCATTAAGCACATGCCTTAATTTTAATTTCCAAAAAAAAAAGAGGAAAGAAAGAAGACTTTATTGTACTAATTAATTAAATTAATATATGTTTAATTAGGTTTAATAATAAAACATGTTCTATATATGTTTAATTAGGTTTAATAATTAACAATAAATTAATTAATAATAAAAATCAATATATATGTTTAATTAGGTTTAATGATTAATAATAAATAAAACATGTTCAGTATTTTTAATAATTAACTTAACAAAAAGAAAATTTTGAAATAAAATACTAGATAAATCACATTAGTAATAAATTTTTCCTGTTTTTTTTTTTTTTTTGTACACTATTAATCATATCATAATAAAATTTCATTGACAAATAGTTTTTTTTTGCTTTGTTTTTCTTTATTTCTCTTTTTTTTTTTTTTCTAAATGAGGTAGATTTGAAACATACAGATATACCTTTCATTGTTAATATTAGTATTATTTTGTACATATGAATTTATGAGGTTATGTAAAAATTTTTGGTTGACAATTTCTGGACAAGAAAATTTCTCAAATCTAAAAGCAAAAAAAAAAAAAAATTATAATGAATATTTGAAATGGATAATCGTTATCATTGCTGTAACAGTGATATTCGATTCATTTATTTTATTTCTTCCTTTTATTATATTGGTGCTCAAGTAATAATAATAATAATTAATAATAACAATAAAAATAATAGTAATAATAACAGTATTAGTAGTAATAATTATGTATAACGTAAATTATTATATTTGATAAATAAATATAGAATGTTATCAGGTAATAAATAAATGTATAAGTTATTATAGGTGATAAATAAATATGTAAATTATTGTATTCAATAATGTGGCAATATTTCTATTAGGATTTGAATGTTCAAATTTTAATAAAATCATTTTTTATGTGTGAACAACTTTTGACATCCATTAAAAACAATTTATAATTATATGGTTAATCAAGAAAAAAAAAAATCCAACGAAGTTTGATCGACTGATAGCGCACTCTGATAATCGTTTATGATCGATGAAAACGAGGAGAGAAAAGATAAAATGTAAATTTAAAAAAAAAATCTTTTTTTCTTCAAGGTTAACAACGACAATCTAATAAAATTAAAAACTGAGAGCCTAACTGTAGCTGGTATATTGTTATTTTTTCAACTTTAGAAGCTTTTTTATAATTTCATACTTCAAAATACCAATTAGAAAAGAAAGAAATATTGCTAACTTGCTAAGTTTATGTCATGATTTTTATAATAATTCAAATAAAAATTGATTCAGGAAAATTTTTATGCAAAAAGTCCAATAACAGAGGAAGAGAAGAAAAAAAAAAGAATTGTTATTTCTAAAAGAAATAAATTAGATTTCAGATTCTTCTTTTATTTTATTACAAATCGGATTTGTTTCTTTTTTCCAGAGAGAGGGTAGAAAACCAAAAGGGTATTACTGTTGATAATTCGTATATGTGTGTAATTAGTTGGAAATAAAATTAGAATAAATAAAAAATGATTGTGACTAGAATGATAATCACTTCACTTTAATGCTAATAATTTATACATGTCGTTGAAAAAAAAAAAAAAAATTAAATTATGCAAATGTAATAAATGGGAGATTATGAACGAGTAATTAGTTATCTATCAATTACACTAATGAATATAAACCCTTAATAAAAAGTTTGTTGTAAAAAATATAGATGGAATAGTTCGTCATATTCCCTTTATCACTTATCGTAAGCTGTTAACAAATCAGATTAATTAATAATGAGAATTTCATCCCGTTAAAAGAAAAAAAAAAGAAAAATAGTTCTTTTTGAGACAAAAATATAAAGTGCTTATTAATTATTTGTGTCTACAAGATTAATTTACAATTTATGAACTATTATTTCAGTAATAAGAAAAAATAAATATGCAAAAGAAGAAAGATCACTTTCTTCATTGAATATTATTCCGAATTTGGATTGTGTAATAAAAAAGCTCTGTTATTGCTAAAATTTCATTGATTATAACAAACTTAGAGAAAAAAACTGATGTATTATCCAAACTGGTGTAAAATCACTATCGGTATGGTTATCAAAAAATATCAATGTTATAATCTAATAAAAACAAAATAAAAGTGTGGAAAGAAATACATATACAGTTAGAATATTTATTTTTACATGTTAAAATCTGAATATTGATTGGTAAAGCTCTACAGTTTCGCATATTTATACAAAGCTCACGAGAAAAAAAAAATGCTCAAATTCTTCCGAGGTATTTGAGTTTTTTTTTTTGTTATCCATCTTTTCTCGTACAATTTAACATCAATATTTTTTATAATTTTTGTAATTAATATTTCGCATAATTAGCAAACATAAAGAACTAACTAATAGATAAAACTAAGAGAACACTAAGAAATGAATAAATAGCATGAAAATATGTCACAGTAACATTTTTCACAACTAGAAATTCATTGAAGTTGGTATGCCAGTAAAAAATGTTAGTGATAGGAAAGAACGAAGATGAAATGCTAATATATCAATTTTAACTTAAAGTAATTCCTCATTTTAAAAAAAATATTGATTTATTCTGTGCGTCTATACCTGAAATAAAGTTTGTAGCAAAAAATATATCCAACATTATTCTTTTTTCTCGCACATAACTATACTATACAGAATGCATTAAATATATGAGCATAAAGGAAAAAAAAATAAACTTGGTATAAAAAATAATCTAAAAATGGTGCCATTCAAGACCTATATTGCGATGATCAATTTCATACTGATTGGCCACTTCTTCCGCAATTGATTGATTAAGCCACAGATTCTCCAATTTTGCATAAAGTTCGTGACTAAGATGCAACGGATTCCCACGTCTATAATATAAGCTTAAAAAATTTTCAAATTAGAAATTCAAACTAGGAATTCTTCATAAATTTCTACTAGAAATTCCTTTAAAAAAATTTAAACATTATTGAAGAATCATTATATTGCAACAACGATGACATATCAACAGTAATAATATATAAAAATTTATATGAGACATTAAAAAAGAAAAATTTGATAATATAAAAAAAATACTAACCGAAATCCTGGATCCGCTTCACCATAATCATCTATATAAGGCGCGGGTAGTAAGCAACCTCGATCACGTGATGTTAATAGCACTACTTGACAGTCACGAATTCTTAAATTTTTTGAAACGGAGATAGAATTTTAATCATTTTCAAGAAAATCAAATCCTCTTTAATTAGAGCAATAACATTTTAAAAAACATTGAAAAAAAAAAAAAAAGAAAGAAGCAAAAGACAGAACGATCAAAATCACTAACCGAAGAAACACACCACCAGAGCATCCAGTACATATTTTTAAATGATAAGAACAAGCTCCAAGTGTAATACCATTTACCTACAATAATATTCCATTCAAAAGTATATCACTCTGTATTATTAATTAAGAAATTTCGATTTCTTTCAATATCATAGTAAATGATTCATATTAGCTCTTATAACTTACTGTGCGTTGACAACAGTAAATCTGAGAGCAAAGTAATGAACCACAAAGAAGACATAAGCTTGGTGCCGATGATGAACGATCATCGATGGGAATAGAAGGACATCTGAAGAGTTTTCAATTACAAAACAAACCTTCGAAATTTATACATATCAGAGCTAAGATCACTTTTGTAAAGTAATCGTAGTTATATTTCAGAAAACAATATTGTCACTGATGAAATGTCTTCTCATACAACAGTAACAAAACCTATTCCTCAATATTTGAAGGATATAAAAAGTTAAAAGCTAGCTATGGAATATTATAAAGTGAAAATATACTGGTAAAATAAGGAAAAAAAAAACCTGAAACTGGCTGCATAATTGATCAGTTCTGAAAAATCTTCCGGCAACTCCACAAATGAATTTTCCAAAACTGGTTGTCGTACGAAAGTTTGCTGAGATTTATCTCCTTGTGATGATGCCCATCTAAGATAAATTAAGTTTGAATTGCTGCTGCTTGCTTCAGCTTATCTTCATGCATGATAAAAGAAATTTTTAACCGCTAGAAGCCATGAAATGGTGTAAAAAAGAGAAACAAAACCTGGCATCTAAAAAGTTATCCTTCAATGATGTAACAATTGATTTTCTTTTTCCTTTTCAATATATCGTGAATTAATAAAAAAAAAATATAAATAGATAAATATATTTAGTTATATACGTCGAACTCAAAAAGTAAGTAACTTAAATGCAATTACTGGTATTCAGTTTAATGATTAAACAATGAAATGACGAGAAATTCAAGTTTCAATCCTTATTTCATTTTTCTACGCGCTATCGTCATTCCATAGGTCTTAAAAACATTAAATGGTTTACATAACTTACAATGTGAACAATTTCTCAACACACAAACCACCGAGAAATTCGCCAAGACTGGGTATGAAACCAAGATAACGACATAGGGGCTCGAATTCATTAACGGAAGGATCTGAAAAAGAAAAAGACAATTCTTTAATTAACTACGCCTTTTTTTTTAAATTCTTTTTTTTTAAAATAAAACATGGGTTTAAAACAAATCATAATGTACATCATTTAGTGATACTGAGATTGTTCATATTTTAATGAAGTTCATCTTCTTCATGATGAACAAGAGACAAAAACCGATATTTTCGGATAAAAAGCTGGCATAAAATTTGTCCATCGTAATTAGCTATTTTAATTCTTCCATATTTTGGTATATGGATGGAAGATATTATTTGAGGATGAAATCAATTTTGCTATGTTACCTTTCAATGCTTCTGGTGGTGGTACAAGTGTAAGTGCATGGTAAAGAAGTGAGAGTGGACGTAGAAATTCAAGTACTGCTGTATGAAGTGTCTGCAAAATTTCGAATCTTCAAAATAATTTGAAATTTTACAAAATCAAATTATTTAAAATAATTTAAATATCACGTTTATTTGTTAAAATTTAAGTAAAACTTATATTTTAGTTTTGTCATAACAAAGCAGCAAAAAGTGATACAGTCAATGTATGTACGAAATTTTCAAATTGGCTTTATACTTAAGAATTAGGAAATATTTTTTCGTGGAATACATTCTCACTACCAACAAAGGAACGCTAAAAATGCTGCCGGAAATCAGCTAGATAAACCTAAGATTTTTTTGTAAACATTTACGTTATATCTCCATAAGACATCTATCTATTCCAAACATATTTATAAGCATTACTGCACTATATGATAACAATTCTAAAAGTTGATGCTGTTGAAAAACATAAACAACTGTAAAAAACAAAAATTCTAAAATGGTTTTACAATTTGACAATACCTTTTTTAGTGCAATCACTGAGGATAGCTGTTTTCCAGGACAGGCAATAGCGTAAAGACGCAAAAGTAAGTCATCCAACATCTTATCATCTTGTACAACAAATGGTGAAGCTGACTGCTTTGAAAGAATTTCAACATCAAATGTAGCAATAACCTTAAAGAAAAATCAACAGTTACTTAAGAATTCTTCATCAGCATTAGGCTAAAACTAATTTTAAGTTATTATTGAAATTGGATCCCGGCATTCCATGAAGCTCTATTATTCTCATTTCATCAACAAGCATTTTATCAATAGTCGATGATAAATTTTATTATTTATGGTAGAAAGGACAACATGATAATTAATATAATATCAAAATTGTATTAAATATGAATGCATGAATGCATACTTGATATAAATGTCCAATAAGTGCCAGTCGAATAGCATACTGTTCATTCTCTGAACCATGCGGGAATGTAACAAATCCTTCTTTATTATTTATAGCTTTACCATTTTTATTCATTGGTTCCCAACCTTCACACATTGCCATTTCAACCTACAACACTCAATTTCAAAACAAATTTTTAAAGTACAATAATTCTAAGTGCAAAATTTAATTAGAACACTTACTGCAAGTGAAAGCATATCGATTGCAAGGATATTTATTGGCTTTTTAATATCTTCTGACATCAAAACAGCTACTGCAAATTCTAATTGGGACTGAAAAAAAAAAAAAACTTGTTATCAATTAACTGATATTGATACTTTCAAGACAACTAACATATTCAGTTATTCATTATAATATATAATAGCTTACAAGTATATTAGAGTTAGCTGCAAATTGCTCACTGACAAAAGACATTGAAAGGTAAAACTAGTCATGGTCTGATTACCTGGCTTTCATTAGCATGAGGTTGAAGTGATAAAATTTTAATCAAGAAGCAAACATTTCTTAAAATATTAGTTTACGTTTTTTTTTTTTTTTTTTTTATGGAAATAAAATAAGCATACCATATTATTAAGATCCACTCCTTCTGGTAGATGAACCTCTGTCTTCTTTTTTGCTTCCAATGCTTTTACTGATGACTGATCAGTGAGACAACTTGAATCTGTACCAGAATTTACTGTGGCATTCTGATCAGTAATTGCTTTACGCGACAGAAGTGGCGATAATAATTGAAGTAGAAGAAATCGTAGGTAATAGTATGATGAATGACATTTCATTGTCGCTACCGCACAACTTCGTGATAATGCATATATGCACTCACGCTGAAAATGGCTTTTGATATTTATATCAAAATGTTGGATAAATTAATTTACTGATTAATTAGAGTCGGTTAGCACTTAATTAGCACTTAATAACATTTTAAGCTAATTTTTAAGTTAAAAATTAAGCTAGTTTTCGAAAAATTTCATGATAAAGAACTGGTGAACATGAAAATAATACAACTATATTATATATTATTTCTTTTTTTTTTTTTGCACATTACTTTGCACCTTTCAGATTTACAATATATATATGTATAATGAGATATATAAAGCATTAAACCATCCTTGCTAATGAAAAAAATCACTTCACGTAACATTTAGAAACAACCTGTCTAGCATTCCACGCTCCAAATAATGGCTTGCCACCACGACGAAGCACTGTTGCAATTGAACGAAGTGAAAATGCAGCAGTTTGGAACGTGAAAATAGCTTCCATAATTTCTTCATTAAAATAACTGGTAGTACCGTCATTTTGCAAATGCTGCAAATTTTTCAGATCACTGAATACATTTATATAATTATAGCAAATGTTTAAATAACAAATGTCATTAATAGGATTAAAGACAAAGTTAATCACACTTCTAGCACTTTTAAATGCAACTAACAATATAAAACACAGAGATATAATAGAGGCTCTTTTGATTGAAATACTAACCAAATTAGTTTGCTTGAGAAAAAAGTGTATCATATCCCAAATTACTGGTGAAAAATGTGTGCGTGCACTGAAAATTATTTTTAATGAATATTGAATTTAAACAAAATATTTAGCTATACATTTCCTCCGAGCAACAAAATTTTTTCTTCTCATGGCCTCAGCTGCTTATGAATTGATTCTCTACATCTTTCATTTTTTATCCAAGCTATAATTTTAAGAGAAGGAAATGAAGATTTGCTGAAATATTAAAAATATCACACCTATCACTTTGCTGCTTTTCCGGTTGAATAAGCATATCTTTGATTTTATGCATTACATCTGGAATGGACGTAAAAATTGAAAAGAAACGTCCATCAGGGCCACTTTGCCTTTTCACAGCTGTCTTCAACGTTCTTTCTTCGTTGTCATCTACTTCCATGATTTCATCCGATTCTAGAAATTATAATTTATCTTTCATTTCAACATATACAGCTTACTTCCTACCTAAAAAAATACTAATAATCTATATTTGCTAGAAATCATCGTTCACTTATTAATATCTTGTATTTTTTTAAATTCCATCTTTGGAGCCAAAATAATGCAATACTTTTTAACCATTACATTTCTTCTATCAGAAGAGATCAGACAGTAGCAACAAGTACAACATAATAGCGCCTTAAGTAATTTATTACAAAAAAAAAAGCATTTAGAGTCCTACTCGGATGAACAACTGGATTCATTTCCATCATAAAGGACATGGCAGATGTTGAGGGAACCGATGCTGATAATGCATTTCCAGTTTCAGCTTCTCGACTAACTAATTCCATTAACGATCGTTCTGAATGCGATCTAAATTTCATTTTCCTTTAAAATTTGAATGGAACTCTTCAATTTATTTATAATATAATAATGTTAAGAAAAAAAAAATGGAAACAGCGCAAACCTCTTCTTGCTATGACCTTTGAATGATTTGTCATCATTGATCGAGCTATCAAAAAGTCCAACGAAATGGTTTATCCAGTCTTCAAATTCGATGTGCTTTTCTTTAGTAGCAATTCTACAATATATTTGAAAATAATTATAGGCACTGAATATAAAGATAACTAAAACATTTCAATTTTAAGAAAAAATGTATGAAAACAATATTTAAAGAATTTGGGTAAAATATCATTACTTGGAGAAAGTGACCGTGATAAATTTGATACAATATCCATCTCGAAAATGCTGATAGATATAAAAGATGAAAGTTACAAAGATTTATTATACAAAAGGTTAATTAACATTTGTATACCTGTCGTCAAAAACTTGCGCAAGAGGGGGTAGAATTGGTAGAATCGTATTGCTTAGACGTTTACACAGCGGGCACAAATATTCACCAGAATTAATATCAAGCACACGCGGATTGAATGCCATGAGTTGTGGATTACGGCCACGATCACGATCTTTCAGTAAATCAGAGAACCTAGAAAATATAGTCATACTAAAAGTAAAAAATTCATTACCTATGATAATGAATTTATTAGTAGCTTAAAATAGTAGATTTTATAAGTGAATAAGTTGCGAATTGTTTTTTACAACTTTATTTCCCATTTTTTTTTTTTTTTTTTTTAGGATGCTTTTAGTCCACAGCATATATAGCAGTCGGTAAAGCACTATAAATTAAAATTGTAACGTCTATTATGATATTATAAACAAAATAAAATCTCTACTTTTTATAGCAATTAAAGTGCATCACATGACCACATGTTGAGGATCCAAGGCCATTTCGAAGGGAAACAGATACAAATACTTTAGACAACTCTAATGCAGCTTCTTCTTCCTGTTTAAGTTTTGCAAATAATGATGATCTGAAAACATGGAATTGAAATTTTGTTGAGGTAATCGAAAAAAATCTTCAGTTCAAGCTATTACTGATAACAAAACAAATTTAAAGTTGTTGCTAAAGGTACGAATATGATTAATAGCTTATGGTTTATGATAAGTTAAAAAAATTAATGAAATTATAAGGAAGCTAATATTTCAGAAAAACCATTAACAATAAAGTTCTTAATGATATGCGTCGTAAAAATGATTTCTGAATAAATGATTTGACATGCATCGTAAAAACATGCAGATTTCGATACACTTACTTTTGCATAAATGCAGCACATACTAACGCCTGACCATCTGCTGTAATATCTTCATCTTCTTGGCACAGAATACATGTAACTCGACGACAACTGTCACATTTTGCAATACTTCGGTCAATGCCCAAACAAATGGGAAAACCGCTACCATGCGGTAAAATCCTAAACAATGATAAAAATATTATGACAATAAAATAATGTTATAGGACAATATTTTTTGTATGAAAGAATTCAGTATGTTCTTCAACTAATTTTTTCCTGGAAAAATATAAAAACAAAAAAACATGAATTAACAAGATTTTCAATTCCACTCGAAAAGAAATTTAGAAGAACATCTACCCCAATGGTTCATCATCATCATCATGTTTCTGAGGTCCTTTTCCCTCAAGAAACTCCTTTCCAAGCAAATCCTGATTTTGTGTCACAAATTGCTTCTGTAATCGACTCATCTGCAAAATTTCAGAAATTATCAGAGTTAAGAAAATAAGTGAGGATTAAAATTAGAATTTTTTCCCACAAAAGACATAATTTACCTGATCCATTGCTTGTTTTCGTTTCTTAGCAGCAATTGCCGCTTTTCTGGCTTTAATTTCTGATTCTGATGCATCTGGAGCTTTCAATCCTGGCTGTATAACAGCTTCTTTGCTCTCCGATTTTGTCTTCTCATAACGCTAAACAGTTTGTTAAAATTTTTTCCATAAAATAAATTTTTATGAGGATCTCAGTTTTTACATCATTTATCACTTAGAATTTTTCAGCCCAGATTGTAAATTCAACTTTTGCATTCAATGAAATTTCAATCTCAACACTGATATGCAAAGAATTTTGATTAATACAATTCGGAGTACTTTTTTTCCTTACATATCATAATACGGAGCTACACTCTTCTTAGGATATAAAAGAATTTATTTTATTATATTGTATTCACGATAAGTGATAGAAGCTAAAATAGCGCCATGAAAATCATAATAAGACCACCCAGTAATTATTTCTATAAAGATGATAAATAAATAGATATCACTAAACTATGAAACTATTTCGGATTTCAATAAATTTTCTGGAACATTCCTCACTTTACGCTTCAGCCATATAATGGATAGAATTTTACATAAAATGAATAAAAATAATAATCAACCTGAAGCAAATATCCCAGAAGATCAGCATGCGGTTCTGATTCAGGTTTTCCATTTAAGTTCTTCATCAATGTAAATATATTAGCCTCCTCAGCACAACCGATGAAGTTAAAGTTACTGTTTACGGTCTGTTCATTAAGACCCATTCCAATCAAAAAAAGTACCTGAAAAACGGTTAGAAATTTCAAAATTTTCAGCAATGAAGTTTCTTAAAAAATTCCAGCTGTCAAGAATTATGACTATTTTCACATTGCAAATTTGAAAAACCACTTTGATATCAAAGCATTATCTCAAATTCAAAAAGCAAAAAACAAGAATAAAATTTTTGAGAAGAAATTTCAACTATGATAACAGAAACGACTTATTATTTAAACATTTTCTAAATGAAAATGTTTTAGAAATGAATAAACGGTTAAGAATATAATAATTGTCAAATCATTTGATAGCAGCATATACCTAAAAAACACTGACTTATCGCTATGTGAACTTACTCGATGCAATAAGCCATCACTTGAATAGCGACTTCTTCTTGCTGTCCTCTCAAGAACGATACGTATCAGTTGCATCATCATTTTACTGCGCAAAAGATTTATGATAGGCGCAAAAAACGATTCAAATTGTGGTGGCATCGGTGGTGCTGCTACTACTGCTTCTCTGTAGACAAAAACCATTAATTCATGATTTTTAAATTGAATAAATAATTAAATCACTTTGAGTTTATTTATTCCCCTATACATAATTTACCTAATAAGTTTCAAAACTGATACAATTTTGAATTAAATACTAATATTTTTGAAAAATTTTGGCATACTTTTTGAGCGCTTTATTAGTGCATTTTTGTCGGTACTGTTCAGCATTTGAAACATCTGTTTTTGAATAGTGATAAAAGAACGCATTGTATTCACTTCTTGCACTATCTTTTAATAGGAAAATACCCGGCGATGTTTTCGTTGGTTTTCTATAAAAAGTTCCACAGTTAAATTAAATAAGATTTTTATTAAATGATAACTCTGATGAAGTAAGGTAAAAAGATATGTTATTAGATAAGAGAAAATCTGAAAAACTGTAAGGATGTTTTATAGAAGAGAGGATTAGGTAAAACAGTTTGAAATAATAATGGAAAGTGTAACAGAAATATACCTGAAGTCTCCTACACTTTTGACAGCTTCTTCCACAGAAAGATCAGCAAAAAGTAGATTTACCGGCATTGCACGTTGAATCTTTAAATAAAATAAAGCTTATTTTGGAATTCTGAGCATGTTTACTGATAAAAAGATACTATATTACCTTACTGAAAGGTGTTGGTTTTGTAGCAAGAACATGGAGAACTTCACGCCTCAGTAATGTTTTTATTGTTGACTTTCCAACACCTGGCAAGTAACGCTCGCCTACAATGACATCCTCATTTTAATTTCATCAAATAACTAAAAAAGAATTATTGACGAAAAAAAAAAAAAAAAACGACAAACAAGATAGTAAAAAAGAACCAGGCTCGTTAATATAACTGAAAATAGCTGAAGAAATGAGCCAAGATAATATAAAATGATATCTAGCACTATAAAATGAAATGAGACATCTGTACACTTACCAATAATCCTTTAAAAAACTCGCATAAGAAGGTAGGTAGATATGAACATGAATAAAAACTAACCAATAATAATAATGAGTAAATGGAGCATTTCTTCAGCTAATGTAACTGTACATTTGCTTAAATCATCAGATGCTACATTGCTAAAAGCTGCGCGAATTTCCTCAAAATTTGTTTCAGCCCAAACTCGTAAGCCAAAACGGTGCAGAACCCTTATAATGAACGTATCAGGTGGTGTCAATGCAGCGCAAACCTGAAATTTAACTTATCAAAATCATCATTTTCTAATGAAGGGTTTTTTAACGTTTTTTCTCCGATTATGAAGCTGAATTTTTGATATAGCAGTGTATCAGCACTGAAGAAAAATTACATATGTAGTTCCAATTGACATTTAGTTTATTCAATTTTCGGACTCAATCAAGCTAATAAAGAATTTTCGAAGAAAAGCTGTGTTAAAATGAAAGATGTGAGAAAGATTCAGTAAATAAGTACTTAAATTCATGAATAAGCCTCATATAATGGGAACAAAAAAAAAGTCCACGATGATAATGCTTTAAGACCAAGATCACTTCTAAAATTTAAATTTACTTTCGCTAACGGTCAGAATATTTTAAACTTTACCTGCAACATCAAAATATCCCTATCAAACATTTCAGCACGACAAGTTGGTGCAGAATAGTTGTGAATCTGAAAAACAAATTTTGTAAGCAAAAAAAGTTCAAAAATAATTCGAAAACAGACATTAGCTCAAATTTTACATACGACAATTAGAAATTAGAGTTTTATGTATGTGCAAAATAAGAATAATTGTCAGCAAAATAACAAGTTTAATGTAGAGAGGAATGCATGAAATAATTTATTATAAAATGGTTTCAAACATTTCATAAAACTGCAGCTGGACTTGATATGTAAAAAATTTTTATGAGAAAAAAATGGGAAAATATTAAAAATAAAATAGATATGAATACCTGATTTACCAACGAAAAACCATTTCTTCGCCACATTTGTGCCTGTGACTGCGAACATAGTACAAAAATCCTGAAAGCTATTCGTAAATTAAAATCAAATTCTTCAACACTGACATTTCAAATTTAATAAAAATTTAAAGGAAACTAAAAATCTTAAAACTTATCGTACCAATGTTTTCAAATTATTTTATGCTCAATATGTGAATAACGAAGAGGAAAAAAAAATGATAAAATCAACTATCAATTATTTCTTTCGTTCTTTCCGATTTACTGTAAATCAGTTATGTCTGGAATTTTAAGCATATTACAATAAAATAGATGAATCGATAAAAGGATGAATTACCGTAATGGCATTTCCATTAGAAGTGCGCGCTTCCCTTTCAGGTTGATCATTCCTTCAGGAACTTTTTCTGCTCCATCCCTAACACAAATTTTTTGAAGCACTGTCTGCTCTGCAATAAATAAACCTGCTAGAAGTCGCCAAAAAGGTTGATGCACTGACAATGAACCATACGACAAATCAAACGGTATGGAAGTTGCTTTCATGCCATTCACTGAAACAGGTTTCAAAGATAGATTATTTCTGAAACAAAACTGAAATTTTAGAAACTTCATCTTCGACTGAGAACTTCCATATAGTGTTCTAAAAAGTATATCATCATGATTTTGCGAATAGTACTCTAGAAGTCCTTTCCAGTTACAATCTAAAGATTATCCAATTTTAGTAGCACGACTTTCAACTGTAATCCTAGAAGATTTAAATTTAAAAATTGCAAAAATTCTAGAAAAAAATTAATGCATAAATTTTAGCATTAAATACAAGAAACAATAGTTAACCTTCTACGACAATTTTATTTGCAAAGTCAGGACTGTGACTAGCTACCGCTTCCAGCTCGTCGATAAGTTGACTCATAAGACGACTATGAACAAATTCCTGCACCGGAAAACATAAATTATTAAATAAAACTTTTCAAATTATTACTGCATTCAAACTTTCAAAGTATTATTACTGACATATTTATTCAGCTAGACATGGAGAAAGACTATACAAAAAGCACGCTTACATCCGAATTACACCAACATATAACAAGTGCAAGGACATGTTGTAATTTGATTTGAATATTAAAAGCAGTCTCCCATTCCTGCTCCCAAACTTGATGTTCTGCAGTTTGACGACGAACTTCGTCCATACCCTAAAATTCATTAAATTGCAACTTTGATTCACCGATAACAAAAAAAAAAAAAAAACACTCCTATTTTAGATATAAAATTAGTAGTCATCTTAAAATAGCATTGTTAACAACGATGTTCAAAAATATTTTTGGCGCACCATTTATTTGTGACTTCCTAACAAAGTACAGGCAAAATTAAGCGATTACCTGCATAAATGAAAGAAACCGTATAAGGGAGGAACATCCAGAAAGAAAATTTTCACGTAGTTGAGGTGTCCAATCTTGCTGTGAAGGAACCACAGACAACAGATATCTATGAAAGATTTCTTTAAATTTTTTATTCAGTACTTGCTTATTGCATTTATCAAACAACAATTCCTGTTAGAAAAAAAAAAGTAAGGATAATTGCATAGGACCTGTATAAATTTACAGAATTGCCTTACGTAAAAAGTAATCTCTTTTGATATTACATGTTAGATTTGCTTAACGAACGCATATGGTGGCCTTTCAATTAATTAACTGCAATAAAGATTTTTTCTACTCAAAAAGATGATCATGATTTAACAAAAACTTTCATAAATTGTTCTTACCTCAGATCACAGAGCATATATAAAGCACGCCGAAGTGTATGAGGATATGATCGTGAAGAAAAATCAAATTTCCTTTTGTTAGGTGCTAAAATAATAATTTGAAGAAATCTACTACAAATTAGTCGAAAAACCGACCTAATTTCTCCGTTTTTTTTTTCTTGCCTTCATTTCACAAATCTAAAAGAATGAGACGAAATAAAAAAAATTTTTAAAATTTGAAGATGACTGATACCTTTCAAATATTTTCTACAATGACTGGACAATGTATGAAGTACAATTTGGAGCACTGATTCTTCAGCAATTAACATGCGTGCTATTGTAGGTACGGTAAAAATCTGAAAAGAAGTGTAAAATTTCAAATCATTACCTATAAGCGAAAAAAAAAAAATACAGAATAAATAATTCAATTCTGTCTCAAGAAGAGCAAAAATTAAAGACCTGCTCAGTGCTATTTTCAGGACATATTTTTTATTTCTAACAGAGAATAGAAAAATGGAAGATGGCGAAAAAAAAGCAAAGAGAAGTGTATCGAAAACAAAGTATTAATTTGTTCCTTGCTTCTCACTCATATTTCTTTATCCAGCAATAATTTTCCAAATATTTCATACAAAAAAAGAAAATCAAATTAAATAGTTCACCTGAACAGTCAACACAGTGACTGATACAGACTGATCATGATCATCATCAATGAAATCATCGTATATTTTTTTGTACAACTGAAACATAAAGCTGAATTTCCTCAATCAATAAGTAATTTGCAATACTTAAAGATACTTGCTATTAAATCACTTCCAATCAGTAAAACAAATTTCTTCGAAAATATATACATATAAATGCCAAAAATATCCACGTGAAATAGGTAACGAAATAGCACGCAAGCTACGTGCACGACGAATGCATGTTATATCTATATATACGTAACTATATGTAATCAAGTGTAATGAACACAATATAGTCATAGGCGCTCTTTCCACTGTTAAAATTCACCGCAACGTAATCAAGGAATATCATTATACTATATATAATTTATGTAAAAATGAATATATTCTACGAAGAAAAAAAAAAAAAAAACTAAAACTAAAACATACACGAATATACAATCTTGAGAAAGCTTTTTTCTGTTCACTATTCATCAATACTGTTGCCATAATCATTTGATGAAAACCTATCCTTGCACCTAGAAAATTTCTTGCAACAAAAAATCAAATTATTAGAACAGTTTTTGCTAGTAATATGTCGATAATTCAATTTCTAAAAACAATAAACTGAACAAATAATTTTCTAAAGATTTGTTAATTTAGTTCTAATTTCACCTCGCTTTAATCAGTAAAGTTCATAAACTACCAAATATTCATTAAATAAAAAAAGAAACAACCTTTCCATAACGCTCTATCACATCTCAGTATATGGGCCATAAGTGTTTGATCTACTTCTCCCGTACTATCACTTACTTCCAATTCAACTTTCTCATTTAATAATATTTCACCCATCATAAGGGCTAAAGCTGCTGAAAAAAAAAAGAGAAAATATTTTTCAATCAAAAAAAGAAGCATTGAAGCAAGATAAAACGTCGTATTTAGATCAAACCCCATGGAATTTTAAAAATTCTTAATACATATCTACTCATTAAGGTAAATTCGTCCTGGTTATCCTTATATGACAACTAGTGAAAAGCATGATGGAACTTAGCTAATGGAATCAGGAAAAAAAATGGAACACTTTTAGAAACAATAAACTTGAACTTCAAAAATTTCAAAACTGGTTCCACAATAAGCTAGTTCAAGCTGCAATTATGCAGTAACATTATAATTCACTTACGCAAATGACGTGCTTGATTTGTTAACCATCCAACTAGGCGTACTGCGAAATTTTGCAGTGAGACAAATCGACTATCAATAACACGCACATCTAACGGGCCACTCTTTTCCGTTCGATGATTTGAATCTCTCTGAGTGCGCCTCTGAAATAAAACAAAATATTTTGCTACTTTGTGGAAATTTCGATTACATTTCATATTCCAAATAATAAAATCTAGTGCCAGAATTATTGCGAACAAAATTCGGTCTCAGAAAGGCAAGAAAGCTATGAAACCCAGAAATATTTCAGCAAAAATTGAAACACCAAAAACAATACAATTGAATTCTTTAAAAAAATAGATGTGCTATATTTCTTTGCTTACTATCTCAACTTTTTATATGATACTTCATGGTCAGATACATTTTTTATAACTTAAGAAAACTCTTTTGCACAAAAGTAAAAGAATATTTTGTTTTACCTGGATTTCATCTTTTGCCTTTATACAGTAATCAATATTACCGTTACGTACAGAAGCACGACCTTCACGATCAATTACAGTAGCTAATTGCAATGCTTGCGGATGATTGCAATGTATAGAAAGATTTAATGCTCTGATTACCTAAAATAAAAATAATATTCGATCCATAATAATAGCTTATAAGTAATTTAATAGAATTTTCACATTAATTATCATAAGTATCGCTTATGAGGTAAGCGAAATTATGCATTAATAACCTAAATTTTGAAAAAATTCATAGTTCCAGTCATAAATTCATTAATCAGTTTAATCAATATTTAGCTGGAGATTGATAAACCAATCAATCTCCACTAAACCACAAGATCAAACATACAGACATCGACTAGATTCTTCGTTTCATTGTTTTAATTATTTTAACCGCTTTTAATTATTCTAATTTCATTCTAAATTAAATTTAGTTAAGCAGTAATTTATCTTTCACAATATATTCCTTCTTTATCGAGTCATCACGGCTTTATATTTAATATTTGTTCCTATTCTTGTCATTTCTAATTCCATCTTCCTTGAACACTTTCATTTATTACCTTCCATTGTGACGAAAGGTACAAATGCTACAATAATCTCTTCTAGGAATAACATTAAGAGAATTAAATTAAATGAACTAGAATCAAAAAAGAAAAAAAAAAACTGACTGAGTCAAAAGTATGAGTTTCATCATTTAACAGAATAGTCTGATAAAGCGGCAAAGTGGTATCTATTCCTCTCTCCCTGAAACAAGGTTTCATAAAGAGATTACATTATGCATAAAGAGATTACATTATAGGTTAAAAAGCATAAAGAGATTACATTATAGGTTAATTTTGAATGCAAAAAAAAAGCACACTAAATGTTAGAAACAAATGAGAATATAAATCAAAATTCGATAAAGTGAAATAGCTACTTTAGAAATGTCGGCAATGTGTTTTCATCAAGCCAACAGATAATTCCAATCGAAAATCGAAGTACAATACGTGTCAGTGAACGTATACGTGTTTCTACTTGTTCTGTAATTTCTGCTGGTACATCAGCTATCCTAAAAAGAAAAAAAAAAGGAGTTTTTGAATATACACTATTAAATAAGCATATTGTTAATCGAGAAAAAGAAATCATTTGCATTAATAACTGCTTTCCTCAACTGATTTATCTATGGAAAGTGCATCACTATAACCGACATTTGCTGGAGCATAGTATATCAAAGCATATTTTTACAAAATTAATAGTGCTATGTAGTAAAAAAAATCAATGTTACTTCTGAAATCAGTAATCTGATGAATAAGCATAACTATTGAATGGACTTAACGCTATATTAGCAGTAAACTTAAGAGAAATAATAATGTTATAAATTACTCCGAATCCTGTTCCTCATTTTGTCCTATTTCATGTAATTTGCATGCTGGATGCTCTTTCCAAGCTTCTACATCGCCACAATCACAACAACCATTTCCATTGGATGCACACATCTTAAAAGTACTCATTTTTGTTTTTAATACTTATTTTACAATATTTTTAACATTGTGAAATGAAGTGAAAATTATTATTTACTACGTAAAATACAGAAAAGAAATACGATATATCGGTAGAAGAAATTTGCCACATCTGAAGAGGATTCTGAAATGAAAATCTAATCTCTTTGGAAAGCATTCAAAAAACCAACTTACTCTGTATTTGTGTGATTTATGAGCAGAGTTTAAAAAGCACTGATAACATATAACGCATGTAGGATCACAAGCACATTCTCTGAAAGAAAAAAAGAACTAACACAATTCATGAAAATATTTTAAATTATAACTTTACGTCCAGGAAATATCTAGCATACTTTTGCTCTCTTCTTCATATTATCATACTAAAACAAAAAAATTTTGTGATATTTCATTTGAAAAAAAAAGAAAAGAGAAAAACTCAAAGTGTATTTAATTAACGAACTTGCATGAATATGTTGCTTCTCCACCTCTAAAAACATGTCCACAGTAAGCACTTCGACGATTTGCACTTGATTTCGACCCGTATGATGCATTGAGTGGCATTAGATCCGTTCCAACATTTTTATCCAAGCAATATGCACAAGCAGTAGGGTGAAGTAATTTTTCGTCTAAAATATATATATATAAACATTTCCATTCCATACAAGAAGTCATACTTTATAATACATATTTCAGTGTAAAAAAAAAAAAAAAAAAATTAAAAATATCAATCACTAACTTCAACATGCAATAACGTATTGAATTGTTTCTATAAAAATGCTAAATATCGTAAAATTATCATATTTGAAAAAAAAACACCAATAAAAAAATAAGGAAAAGTTTCTAGAAGTTTAAACTCTTAATGATAAGCAATAACTATAATAAAGTAATGTGTGTCAAAGAAAAAAAATATATTAATTACGTAAACCATTTACTTTTTTTTTCAAAGAATTGGTGCTTTTCCAATTTTTGAAGAAAAAACTGACAATTTTTCAAAAGGACCATGCTAACAAAATATTTGTTATCTTTTTTTTAGAGAAGTTGACCGGATCATGTTTTTTATAAACAATTATGTTATCCGTTTTTTTTTTTCGTTTTTATATACATCATTTGTTGCAATATATTTGCAAAATAAATTCTAAACATTAAGTAGTGTAAAGTCCAGGCAACGAAAGAATGAAAGTTCAATTTATTTAAACTACCAAAACCGCATCGATCAATCTCCACATTAATTGACTGCAGGACTTAAATTTTGTAAATATCAGTTATATTTCCGAAAATCCTCAAAATATTCAGATGCAAAGAACTGAAGACAACAAAAAATTTGACAGCTGAGCATTTCAGATCATCTAGCCTGTCAACTTTCAAAATAACTGATACTATTAAATAACTTTTTTGAGCATATTGTTGCTTCAAAATTTACCTCGACATTTTTTTAGTAAACTGTTGCATTTTAAAGATTAAATTCGCATATGTAAAAAAATTTTGGGAATTAATTTTTCTTGGTTTTTTTTTTTTTTCGGTCACTTGATCTTCTCCATCTCTTCCCACTCCGTCGGATAAGAGTACGGTATAAGCAATAATCCAAAAGCATAATTGTAGCATAACAAAGCTATTTGTTTACATAACACTCCTTTATCAATACAAATGAGTAACAAGCCAAAAAAAAAAAAAAACCGCTCATCACTTATCAGTATTTAAAATAATAAGACAACAAACTCATAAATAATCCAACATTAATAGGTGACAAAAAATTATCTCAAGCGATCATCCATTAATACTCAAACTGATAAGTGATAATCATAACTAGATGAAAAAAAAAAAAAGACTTACTGAATGTATTGTCATCGATTTTAAAATCAAATGATGGATCTTCGGTTGGTGCACAAATAAGTGGACATTGCTGTGTCCAGTAATCCACCAGAATATGCTCCACTTCATCCCAGTTAGATGCACGCGTTAGCGATATTAGTTTATCAATCATTTGCATTATAGTTAGTTACACGTACTTTAGAACTACCAGTACTAGTACAATCATATACATATATATTTATATAAATATACGTATATATGTATATATACAATTGACACCAAGCACTGAAAAAAATAATTAACAATAATTTCTGTAAAAATTCCGAATTCAAGATTAAAAAATAACAAAAAAAAAGGAATTAAGATTTCTCAAATTCCGTAACAGATACTGTTTATAGATAACAAATATTATGTACACATAATTTTTATTTAATTAAATTTATGACAAAATTTAGACGAAAACCTAAGGAGTACGGAATTATTAATACTACTAATGTATTTATTATCAACGAGAACAATAAAAGCTAATGAAAGATATGCCAGATTAATATTAGCTAATGAATTTTTATCTGCTATCATTTATGATAACTAGCAGTTAGGTTTGGAATATTACAGAAAAGGGGAAGAAATAAAGACATGTAAGCAATTTAAATAACACATATTTGACTTTATACACTCGCTATTATACTTCTTATCAGTACGGTAAAAATTAAATGTACATTGACCCACGGACCATCGGAATGATAAGTGGAATGATAAAATTTAATCAAAGCTTCGCAAAAGTTCGAGAGGAAACTCTACGTTACTAATTCTCGAAATGTTGGTTCTGCCTGGTAGATTTATCATAATAATTTGTGAAATCTAAAAAAATCCTCGAAGTATGACTATTCAACTATGATATATATTCATTATTTGCAAGAAATCTGTTTTGATTATTTGCTTTCAATATTTTCCTCCCATGTTTTCTTTCTTTGTTAATTTTATCACTTGCAAATGTCATCAAAAATTTCATTAACACTTTAGGAAAAGCCTTCCCGAATATCAAATGATTGTGTATATTTTTTTCTTCTATATTTTGAAATATAAACATTAATTATAAATCACAGCATTATAAGTTATTTCATTCTCGCCTAATTCGTTTTTTAATTATTGATAATGAATATCTTGAATGCGATGAATAGAATAAAAGGAATTCATCATTTCTAGTAGACTTAAATTCGTATATAAAAAAAAAAAACATGAAAATGTTTTCAAAAATCTTTTATCAAATCGATCCCTTAAATCATAATCTATATTATCACAATGTTCTGCTTTATTCAGTTTTTATGCTAAAATCATAAAATATAAGCATTTCTACATCTCCACTGCATAAAATACAAACCGGAACCGGAAAACTGTTCATTACGAGAAAGCTATGTAAACAGAGAAACAAAGACATGTTCCATGTGCAAATTCAAACAAACAAACACCTTTATAGCTAAATGAGTTCAAACCCATTGGCATGAAGATTACTGGGAAAAGAGGCAATGGGAAGAGAGATAAGGTTAGTTTGAGGAGAGTGTATGGTGTTAGAGATTGAGAAAATAGACTAGTGATCACGTTGTTATAACTGTAGCAGTGATTGAGACAGTGATAGAGAGGCTATATGGATCGGAATGTAAAATATCATAGGAAAAGAGAAAAAGAAAAGAGTGTGCTATTATTATTTAGTGCAAATTATGGATACAAATGATTTATTAAGTTTTCCTTTTTTCATTTTTTTTTTTTTTTGACACTTTTTTCCCATTCACTAATGAAAAACCAAAGAAAAAAGTTCCAAGCATTCCAAGTTTTTTTGTTTCTTTTTTTAAAATATTTTTATATCTTTCATTTTTTCTTTTCACAATTTTTATACGTACACAGATTTCATATATTTATATAGTTACGAATATATAAGTATGTTTATGTTTACTTAAATTTATTATGTATGTGTTTATTTGTTAATATTTACTTTTTTGTACTTTACATTAAATTTCTTTTTTTTTTCATTTTGTAAATTCTAAATTCGAAAAATTTATAACTTATAATTCTGTAAATGTTTCCCGTTGTACACTTCACACAACTCTTCTTCGCTTTGTTACAGTAATGGGAAGAAAAATGTTATTGTTTATGGATAATTATTAATGCATCTTGTTGAACGTTGTTTTTATCACCGAATTTATAAAACGTTTTTATAATCCTTTTGTAATGATAAAAACGAATTGTTTCTTTTCAGAATATATTGTCCTTATCAGATAGAAATAAGTTGTATCGCTTTCACTGATTGAAAGTATAAAAAAGAGTTAAAGCGATGACGAATCAGTATTTTTCGACTTATGTTGAAGATTTGGAACAGGTAAGTAGATTTATATTTAAAAAAAAAAAAAAAAAAAAAACATAGCATTTGAAGGATAATTTCCAGAAAAATTTTACTTTTCGTTATTTGCCATTCTGCAAAAATGACAAGTTGAAAATTTTAATGTGACCTGTTTGCTGAGGAATATAATGTGAACTTTTTATCTACTAGATTTTGGAAAGGAAGTAGTTTATTCTTAGCAAAACAAAAAAGTTAAGATTAATCCACCATATCAATAAATAAAATGTATTGTAAATTTGTAAATCGTTTTTTTTTTTTTTTTTTTTTTTTTTAAGGAACCTTTTGATGCCATTGATTTTGTGGAACGTTTGGCCTGGCGTTTAACTGGAGGCAAAGATGACATCAATGTTACGGATTTGAAAACAAAATTTGAAGAGGAAATTGGCAATTTGCAAATGTTAAGCGATCAATTTCAAGTAACACATTTTTTATTTCTCTTCCTCGAAATTCCAAAATTGAGAATTTTTAAAGTTTTTAGGCCTTAATGCTATTAAACATTCACAATAAATAGGGATGTGACAAATGATTAAATTCTGGATGGTATAATCTAGAACTTTGTAGCAGCGCTAAAATGTCTATTATAGTCGAAGATAAGTTCATTGGAACAGCAGTGTAACAATGACAAACGTGAATATTTAAACGTTTTGCATAAACTTCATGAACAGAATGCTGATGCTATGGATAAATTAAAGGTTTTAAAAAAATTTTTAAATTTTGCATTTGTAAAAATAATATGTCTCATTAAAATCGAGTTTCTGATTATGCAATAATCTCATGCTGGATACAACTATATAATAAAGTCACTTTTATTTTATCTATTTTAAAATTGTGTATTTTTTTTAAATATATTAATTTTAACCGATTTGAAATGGAAGTTCTTGCTTTACAGCAGTTAGACAATACGATGCAAACAGTTTCAACTAAAGTGGTACATTTGGGTGATCAGCTAGAAAGTGTTCATTTGCCACGTGCTCGTGCTAATGAAGCTCTACAACTAATGAAGCATTTCGATGAATTTTTAGCAGATCAGCCTTTAAGTTCTGATATCTTCACTGATCCAGATAGGGTATGTTTTTATCATCGTCTGAAAGTATAACGGAAATAAACAATGTTAGTTATATGAATTCTTCACTTATATTACGCTAAAGGTAACTTCAAAATTTCAGTTATTGGAATCTGCTGCTATGATCCAGAAGTTGTCATCTATTTCTCAGGAATTGGCAAAAGATAAATATAGCAATGTACAGATTAGAATTGCTCACAAGTACGACGAAATCGAACGATTAATGTTGGAAGAATTTGTGCGAGCCCATCGACAGGGTAATTGGCGTAGAATGCATGAAATAGCTGTTATTTTGGCTGATTTCAAAGTAACTTTTGCTAGAATCCGCTGCCATAATTCAGAAATTGTCATTTGTTCTCCAGGAATTGGCAACTTTTTTAAATTGCACTTTTGATTTAATTTATTTGTGTTTGATTATTGTACTAGGGGTATTTTTTGAAACACGAACATTTTCGTTTTTTTTGGTAATACAGAACTGATATTGGTATTAGAATGTTCTTATTTTCTTCCATATTCAAGAATGAGATACATCGGAGGATTTTTAAAATGTCGGCCTGTAAAGCATTTAAAAATTCATGATTTGAAATTCCGAACGTATTTTAATTTTATTGAATAACATCTTTATTCAAAAGTTAATGAAACACTAAGCTGAAAGTTTAGGGTTATTCGCAGTGTCTGGATGCTTTCGTTGAACATATGCAGATTAATGCTTTTCGCGGTAACAGCGTTTTCGATGATATTTTATCACTTTGTCAGAAAACACAACCGATGTTGAAAGAGATCTTCCCAAATCCTGACCAAGTAATGTCGAAGTTGGTTTTGAATTTATTTCACGGGAAATTACAGGTAAATATTTATTAACTGCTTAAATTAAATAGTTTTCACATATTTTGAAAGAATTACGTAAATCATTGATTTTGGGACGGTGTAGAAATTATTTCTATTTTTTCTCAGTATCGCTTTAACTATCATTATTAATCAATCAGTCTATTCCGAATGATGAAAGAAGTTTATTTAAAAGATTTTTATAATTTGCAGGAAGTCATAGCAACAAAATTAAGCGATTCTGAAAATGATTTAGAAGCTTATTTGACATCAGTATATGATCTCTATTCGAGGTTCGTTTTTATTCAAAATAATTCGGAATTTTGTGGTCCTTTTTTTTTAACAGCATTTGGTTATAAGTAAATTTTTCAGAACGCAAAAATTGGTATCAAATTTAGCTGCATTGCGGATTACTGGAACTGATCTTCAGTTTATGGATACATTGGTGCGGTCTGTGTTCGGCCGTTATTTAGAAACGTATCCTACGTATGTCTTCGTTTTATTTTCAAGTTTTTCTCGACTTTTTTTCTTTTTGAATATTTATTAAACGTATTTGTTGGATATTTCTCAAAAAAAGATTTTTTTAAAATGCGATTGTTAGAAAGTGTTCAGTGATTGTCACCATGTGAATTAGATCAACCACCGTAAATTTTTTTCTTTCCCGAAAATGACACATTTTTTCATGTTTTTTTTTTCTCCCTAAATGTTTTCATTTCTACGCTGCAATAATTTAATTAAGTCAAATTTTTATTAATTTTGATCGATGATTATTGTGGAGATGATGTGGAAGGATTATTTTTTTAAAAAAAAACTCATAGCTTTGTTAAATTTCTTTTCCTTCTTAGTAACGTATCAATATAAATATATTGATGTCAAGCATTTATTTCCT